CCGTGACAGCGTCTGGGCAACTACTGAGGACGATCTGCGCGGTTCCGGCGCAAGCATTCGTTCGAATTTTGACCGATCGCGGCGCCACCATAGTTATCCCTTTTTAACGGATTCATTGTGATGCGCATATCCTGCATGGTTCACCATTGTCATTTTTCTTAACTATAAACAATTGTTTTGTTTCTTTTATAAATAGTCCATTAATAAAATATTCTTTATTTTGTACTAAATTTAATTTGGTATCTTTAAGTTGAAAAATATATAAAATTTAATTTTATTAGATATAGGATAATAAAAATTAATATATAAAGATATTTTATATTTTTATTAATTATATTTTTTTTAAAATTTCAAATAGAATTATAATAAAATAAATCATTAAAATTAATGATAAAATTATATATTTTTAAAAAATTGGCATATCTTGAATAACATATAAACTTTCAATTAAAAAATGTAAAAAGAAATATTAAAGAAGGAAGTTCATTTCCCACGTAATGATCTTTACGATTTAATATCTCCATCCGCTGAAGAATATTTCATAAATACTTATTAGACCTTTAACATTTCCGTTTACTCTTTCCAATGAAAATGTCAGCGTGTTAATCAACAGGATAAAATTAACAAATATCTATCGATTAACAGTAGTAATGATTAAAAGCGAAACAAAATAATTGTCTCTGCATATCGTAATTAATCAGTTTAAAATATAAATAAAAAAAATATAAAATAAAAAAATAAACAGCAATAGAATTGGTTTAATTTGGAAATACATAGAATTTTTTCAATTGAAATATATAAATTGTTCCCACAGTAAGAAAAATGGAATTATATTTTATGTATTACACTATATACTATATCGGTATGTTTCTCGATATATTCTAAGATATACGACAATCTTTTTATGATTTATGAATGAAAGCCAATGTAAATAACAATGAATCGACACTATAATTCGAATTCTGAGATACCTATGTTTGATTTTCATTCTATTCTTTTTTTGTGATACCAATATTTCTCTGAAAAATAATACAAGAAGATATATCATGCTAATCCATCTATATTATATATTTGTCACTCTTATTTATTTTATAATTATTATTTAGATATTGATGATATAAATTCATGATAAATGAAAAAAATTTAGAATCTTTCAATTTATAGTCATTCAATAAATTTCCTATATCGAAATGAACTTTATTACTAGCAACTTTTTTTAATAACTTTCAGAATGAAAGTTAATAATAATAGACTGTTAACTATATTAATGATTTACATTAAGAATTTCCATATATATATGATATCTTTAAAAATATCTTTAGAATTGATATTTTTCACACTTATTTAAATTATTTTTCATTGTGATCAAATATCTACATTTTATAATATGAACAGTACATGATTATCTATGAAAATAAAATTCAATTTATTGTTAAATTCATACATTACACATATATATATATTAGAAATTAAAAGTACTAAATTATATGATAATTAAATTTTTATTCTGTATTTTATTTTATAATATCAATTTGTACGTATTGAGTATTACAATGTTATCAAAAACAGATATAAAAATAAAATATTACAACTACTGTATAATACTTTATACCGAGTTACAATTTCAAAAATGGAAAAGGAATGTAAATTTGTATTGTATTACTACGGAATATCTATTAACTTGCAACTGATGATGTTGCTATTTATTTAATATCATTGTATTTTATTTTTTGTTTAATTTTATTAATACTATTTAGCATTTAGAATTTAATACACCTAATACTGTATTAGAATATATATAATATGCGACATTATCTCAGAAATTATATTAAGAATTATATGCAAACATTAAATTTTAATAAAAACTGAAAACAAATATTTAATAAGAAGAAAAATAGTTTAGTTTTTCTAACTTTTAAGCAGAATTTCTTCATGCAATCCAAGTATAGATACTAAACAGAATAGCAATAAAAACAATACCTATATGTATGTTTTTTCTTCATAGCAATCGGTTATACATTGAAATATAACAAAACATATTTGTTCGAAATTAAAAAATTATCATTAATGCACGAAATAATTTTTACGTTACATCACCAGTTGAAGATTAAACATAAATTATATAATATTTTAATTCATATATCAAAATATTTAATTTAAAATATTCATTTGTCAATATAAATAACACAACTACAAATATATTATAGGTTGATAACCTATATATATAATATGTGTATAATATCGACATTAGAAAGTAAATTAATTGCAAACTTTTCAAAATGGTTTCGTATAAAACATTACTTTTCCTTTTTAATGTATCAATAATCAATGGCATTTTTTAGTCTATCTTACTATTTACTATTATTCCTAATATTAGTAAGGACCATTTTATAATATTAAAATAATATATCTAAAAAGATAACGTCAGAACATAAATAATAAATATAAATATAAAATTTTTATAATCTAATTATATTTTTTTAGTAACTTTGAAAAACTTAAATAAAATAATATTAACGATATTTATCGAGATATAATGAAATCGCGTGAAGATAATGCTGCCTTTGAGAATCAAAAAAAGAATCAAAATATTTTTAGTTTGATTAAAATAGAATAATAATCGTAAAAATAAATACGTATTTTGTTTCAATCCCAGCAGCAATTAATATCATCATGAAATTTATCGATTTATTACCAATGACAATATTTTATTAACTATTACTAATATAAGTTCATAATATAACTCAAAATCTACGACTTAATGCCGCTGCAATTGTTATGACTATGTATATAAGAACTCATATATTCCCTAGAATCTAGCGGTCACTAAATAGGCGACTGATCAACAGTGCGTAACAATATTTATTAAACATTCATAGATTGAATTTCCTAAGATAGAAAATTTTATATGAAATTATATTTATAAGTCAAAGCATACGAATTTTCTTTGGTATCTGAGGATGTCACATAATTGGAAAATCGATAGTAGTGAGATCCATTGAACAATTCTAAACTTTTGTACGGATTTAGAAAATTTCAATTAATAACTAATTAACTAATATTGACGATTAATTAATATTACATCATAATAAAATATAGTGACTGAAAATAAATATATTATTATTTTTATATAAATACTTATGTATGTACTTAAGAGGTAACATCGTTAGGTGTATCCATACAATCTAAAAATGATAAAAAAATTCACTGAACTGTGCCTATATATTATTTTATTATATATAAGTTATTAAAACTTACCAGGCTCGTTTTTATGACTCTTCATATGATTTTCGAAAGCACCAAATTTACTATAGATTTTGTTACATACATTACAAACAAATGTCGCGGTACGATTACGAGCATAATGAATATGATGCACTATTTTTAAATGATGAATTAAAGATGATTTGTGTCTGAAAATAAATTTCTACCAATATAAACTAATAAATTTTCAAGTTTGAATGTTTTTTATTTGACAAATTTAAATCATCTTTGTTTCTTCTTTTTTACCTATACATTTTAAAGCACATGTCACACTTGAAAGGTTCTTTCAAGCGACCACAATGAATAAAATGTCTATTGAAATGATATTTTCGATTGAAAAGCCTACCGCAACTTTCACAAAGTATTATGTACATACCTGAAAAGAAACACTAATGACAAACACTATATATTATCGTGCATAAAATAATAAATTTACCTCCATGTGCTCCTGCTTGATGCATTGCCAACGTACGCGTGTTTGAAAATTTTAATGAACATGATAAACACTTATACCTACAAGCGTTATTCATGCTTCATAAAACGTAAAATTTAGGGAAAGAAAATAAATTTAGAATACATCTCGTATCTTTTACAAAAATTTGTTATCAAAATATATTATTATACATGTACAAAATATCAAGATAACTTTGATTATTGAATATCTATTATTTTTAGAGATATGCAAATATTTTATATAACAATTTTTTAGCTGTGTATGGAAGGACTATTAATAATACTATAAATAATTTTTTTATAAATGAAGGATATTTAAAAATTTCAAAATAAGTACTATTTTTTTAAATAATATGATACTATTTTTTTTGTTTAAATAGTAGATATTTAAACAATTCCAATACAATATAAAATTATTATCAGATTTATATCAGATTAAATTTTTATCTTATCATTTTGCAACATATGATACGAATTCTATATCTTTAAAATTATTAGAGATATTCCAATTAGTCGAAGTTATTGAACTATAAATCTATATATTTTATAAAATATTTTCTTAAAATATATTTTATTTTAATAAATAATATGCTTGATTTTTTAATTTTAATGTTTCGAAAAAATTTGAAAATTTTTTTTTAAACATTAATACAATTTTCGCATTTCGTAAAAATAATATAAAAAATATTAACTTACTTATCCTTGCTTATATTAGTTCCATTATCGTCTTGAATTTGTAATATATTCGTATCATGTAAATTTTCCATCGATCCATCGTATTCTTTTTGTTTTTGCGTATATATTGTTTGTTTAAATATTTCAGTCTCGCTATTTTTTTTTTCATCCGAATAACGTTCAAATTCTGTCAATAGTGAATCAATATCATCTGTGATTTCCAAAGAACATTCACTTTCAGTCAATGATGATCTTCTACTGCTATATTCCCTATCATCATTTAGATATTCATTATATTTAGGGTTATGAAAAGATGAACTATCTAAATTATTCTGTTTAATATCATTAAAAGCTTCTGAATGAATACTAGCTGCACTAGTTTCAATCCAATTTGAAACACAATCCTCAAAGCAATAATTACAGAAAGAATCAGATGAACACTTTGACTTATTATCACTAAATGATAAGTCTTCATTTTTATAATCTGGAGACATCATAAATTTTCTTATTGAAATATTCTTTTCGTCATGTTCATTATCCGTTAAAGAAGAATATAATGTTGTATTATATATGTCAACTTCATTGTCATTTATATCAAATATGTTTTCATAACTATCACTTTCGTGTATTGCATTTAAAGGGTTACATGTTTCATAATTCATTGAATAGCATGTATAACAATCTGAATTATTGTTATAAAATTCATAATTAAACTTATTAAATATTTCATTGCTAGAGAAATCAATTAAATCTTCCAAATCATTTGATTCAATTTCTTTTGAGAATGAAAGATTCTGACATTCAGAATTATAATCTGTCAATATATCCTGAGATATTGAAGGTAAGTATTTCTCCTTTCCTTTATTTTTAAGAATAGATATTTGTTGTTTTTTATTTTGTTTTTTAGAATGATGTTTTAACTTTTTTCCTTGTGTGAGACTTTCTAATGTTTTTGGTTTACCTAATTTTTTGCCTATCATTTTTTTTTTATCATCAACAAAAGAACAAATGCTCCACTTTGGTAATTCATGACAAATATTTGTAAAATTAAGTTCTTGTTTTCTTCTCCTTGATACTCTTTTATGCTTTTTTTCTTTTTTAGTAAGTATATTTTCAGATGAGTTATATTCTGATATTAAATCAGGATTGAATAAACTTTCATGTTCATCTTTATTTGTTACATCTTTAAAAGAATTTGATTTTGTTGCATCTGCTTCAAAAATTCTCTCTGATTTTGACTTATTTTTTAAAATATTAGGAACTTTACGTGATGTTTTATTTAAAATTGATATATATTGTTTTGTATTAATATCAGGATAATTAATAGTTTTAACATTGTCTAATTCTTCAATATTTTTTTTTTCTTTGCTGATATTAATTTCTTTATTATATTGTTTCTCTGATATTACATCTAATACTGTATTTGAATAAATATTTTTTGTATTTTTATTATGTAATTTTCTACTATTATAATCGAATTTAAAAAAATTATCTAATTCTTCAAACATTTTTACTAATATTCTTTATAAATTTCAATTAATTTTTTAACTTTATCTATTTACATATTATGTTTATATTGCATTGTTTATTATAGCTAGAAAATATAATATAAACAAAAAATTAAAAAATATATTTGAACATCTCTACATCAAACTATTTTACATATTACGTAAATATATAATAAAAAATAAATAAAAAATTAAATTAAAAAAATAAATAATTGTAATATTAAAAATGTGCGAAATATATTCCTGTCAATGCATGTGCAAAATTTTTTTTTTTATTTTTATTAATTATCATTAATTATAATTAATGATAATATAATTATAATATTTAATGAACTGCTATATTATATATAAGCTTACCTAATTTTCTTGATCATAGTTTAAATAATATGTAACATTACAATCACAAACAAACTCACATTTTAAATTTTTTTAAACATTTTTATATTAATTATTATAATAAAATATATAAATATAACTAATATAAATTTAAAATATTTAATAGTTCGTTCAAAATTTCACTATATAAAACTACCAACTTCTATAATCAACGGTAGAAACTAAACTGCGTTCTATGAAATTATACAAAGAAGTATAGCTTCAGCTGTGGTTTACATATAGATAAAGAAAAGAAATCCGAGAAGTCCTTGAAGGACAGAACGTAAACATAGAATTTATAGCTAAATTTAATGTCAAAAATTTGTGCGTATATATATTCTTTCTAAATACTTTCGATCCATTTTTCATTATTTATTTCTTCTCGTTTATTACTTTTTGGCATTATTTATACGAATTCGTCACAAAAAAAAAATATGAAAATGTCGAACTTCGAAGTAATATTAAACATAAAATAAAATGTAGAATATATAGAAAATAATAATACTATTCAATTTTATTGCTATGCAAGTCAAATAAAATTCATAATTATATATTATTAATTTTTAAAAAACGAAATAAAAAGTATGAATAATATATTAATAAATATTATATTTGAAAATTTTTATCTCTATGCAAATAAGGTTAGATTTTACGAAATTTTATAATTTTGAATTAAATATTTCATGTCATATTAGTGATTATTTTATGAGAATGTATGTGATAAAGGTGTAAAAAAAAAAAAAATAAATAAAAATTATAATTTTAAAATTGATAACGTGATAATAAAATATTTTATTGTGAGAATATGATTATTTATAATGATAAAATTTTAAATAATAAAAAATAATTTGTGTGTAATAAAATATGTGATTTTGAAATAAATAAAATAGTCAATACTTTATATATAGTATTCAGACAATACATTAGCTTTTTTAAATGCCCAACATAAATAAAATTACCAATCATTACTGTCAGCAACATCATCATTTTCATGTCTTAATGAAGAAAATAATACATCTCTGATTTTTGGTTTTGGATCTTTGGTAATTTTTGTTGGTATAGCTTCTGCTTGTCCTAACATCCATTCCAGTTCTACAATAATATAATAATTTATGTTAGTACAAACATAAATGTTTCAATATTTATTAAATGAATTTATAATTATATTATAATTACCTGCTTCAGTTAGTTTCATGCCTCTTAATTCTATTGGTCCAATAATTTGTTTCACCATATTTCCATTATGGTAGATAAAAATTGTAGGAAGATTGCTATCTGGCCAGTTGGGAATGCAAGTAGTAGAAATACTTTTCAAAAATTTGGTTGCAGGAAATTTTTTTGCTAAGTTAATTAAATGCTGATTTATTAATGTGCAAAGTGGAATGCTTAAAAAAAAAAATTATAATTAGATAAGATTCCCATTTAATATTTTTAAAATAAATTTTTATCATACCCAGATTTATACAAATGAAGTATAACCCAAATATCATCCCCTGCATTATTCACTTCTTGAACATAATCTTCTGCTGATATTTCTTTAACTTCACCATATTTAGATTTGTTAGCTAATTCTTTCATTTCTGCTATTCTTTTTCTCCGATATTCTAATAAAACTTTTTCATCTTCTTCATCCTCTAATTCATCCAATTCATCCAATGTTTTGTTTTCTAAATCATTAGGAGCTATAAAAAAAATAAAATATCTACATTAATAAAATTTGAATTAGGATTATTATGTTAATATAAAAGAAATAAATATTTAAGTACCACGTCCAGTTTTTTCATTTATGGTATTTTCCACAATATCAACTATTTGTTCTTCTGTAACTTCTTTAGGTTTCTCAGGTATAATTCCTTTTCTTCTGAGAATGTCATTCCATTCTGTATCTTCATTTGGATCTTGCTATATTAAAAAAACTTAGGTTATATTAATTTACATATTTAAAAATTAACTTAAAATAATAATAAATCTTTAAATACTTTATTTAGAATTATTTGTATAAATAGTTATAATATATTTAATATTATATTTTTGATCCATAATATTTAATATTTCTTATTTGAAACTAGGAATATTCTTTCTATTCTAACCTTTAAAAATACTTTGTTACTTACCATGATGTAAAAATTTAAAAGATTATTTTATATGCAGAAATAATAATTTTCAATATGAAAATTGATTAATTAATAGAATCGAGGTTTTTAATTAACGAAATGCGCTTCTAATATTTGAATAATTGTGACCGACAGCTGATCATATTTCACAATATATACGTAACAGCTGTATTCCTGTTTCTGGCTTACATGCATTTATAGTATCATGAATGACGCATTCACGTTCGAATCTCATTCTATTTTAAAAACTATATTGTTAGTAACGCCTCTATAATGACCATATTTTGCGAAATTCTGAAACATGATGTACTTTTTATTCTCATATTTCATTCTAAATATTTGCTTCTTATCAATATAATCTATAACTTAATTTTTGAATAACTTACAAAATAGATTTAATATTCAATACAAATGATTTTGTCTTATATCTCTGATATATCTGCAATATCTTTTTTTTTTTTTTTTATATATTAAAAATATATTATAATTTTAAAAGAGATGATGAATTGATATATTCAATTGACATTCCATATCTGATCTGTAGTCATTTGTAGTTGTGTGCAGTAGACCATGTAAATAAGGAGAGCAAATAGCAAGNGAAGGACAGAGATAGGATAAAAATATTGAAATCAGCGCCATCTCCAGAGTGCCGCAAATGAAATTCAGAAGAAAAGGACAGAAAATAATAAGAAAAGGATAAAGATAGGATAAGAATCGACCATTAGCGCCATCTCTTGAGTGTCAAAGATATCTTTTCGAACAATAAAGTAGAATAGGAATTGATTATCAACGCCAGTTTAAAAAATTCTTTATATAAGTACTCAACAGATGGCATTAACGATCAATTCCTACCCTATCTCTATCTTTTTCTTATTATTTTCTGTCCTTTCTTTCTGAG